TATATATATATAATATATATATAATATATTATATATATCAATGTGCGCATGCATCATTCTCCCATTCGCGTCCTCATTCTTCTCTCTTCTCCACTTACATTAGTTCCATTTTTATTTTTTTCTGTCATTCTTTTATACCTTTTCTCCATTTTATCCGTTTACCTTGTTTGTTTTTTGCCTTTTGTCTGTTATTCCATTTGTTGGTCCCTTCACACTTTTTCAATTATTTTTCCATCTTCGCCTCCTCTCTCTTTTCTTACTTTTCTTATATTTTCCTTCGTTTTTTATGTTTCTCCCTTTCCTTTCCTTTCATTACCATTCCCTTTCTTTACTGAACCTGAGCCATCCTTTAGCATAGCGACACGTTTCTGTTATTCCTTCTTTTTCTCTTTCCATTCTATCTTTCTCTCCATTCTCTTTCTTCTTCCCTTCCCTCTTCCTCTTTCCATTCTCGGTTTCTCTAATGGATAAAAGGCTTGCGGTTTTCTCCTATTTTTTCGCTAACGGATACAGTGAATTTGCAAAGTGCTTCATAAAACAAGAGGCTGAAAAAGAAACATCCAATTCAATTAAAGAACAGAGACAACTTTGATACACGCGCGCATTTCCGTTCTTCCTTTTTTTTCTGTTGCCTCCCTTTTTTGTGTCTTCTTTGTTCTTTCCTGCAGTTCCTTTTTTTCTTTCATTTTATTGCGATTAAATTTCCTCTATTTCCCTCCGGTTTTATTCATTTCATTCTTCCTCCCTTTTCTCCACTTTCTTGTTTTCTTTTATCTTGTCTTGTTTTTCTTTCCTCCCCTTCACTCCCTTCTACTATCCCCTCCTGCAATCCCATCGCTCTCCCTTCTCTCTCCCTCCCTTAACCTTATGCCTCTCTCCCAGTCTCCCATTCCCTCTCGTCCTCGCTTTCTTTATCCCCCTCGTCCCACCTTCCTCCCGTTCACTCTCTCTCTTACTCCCTCTCCAACCCTCTCCTACTCCCTCCCCCTTCATCTCTCCCTCCCCCACCTCCTTCCCCTAATCTAATTCTCTCTATCATCATCCTTTTCCTTTTCCCCTGTCCTCCCTCTCTCTGTCCCCCTTCTTCTACTTCCCTCCCCTCCTCATTCTCTGCCCGTTCCCCTCCTCCTCCCTTCCTCCTGTCCTCCCTCCTTCCGGTCCTCCATCTCCATTGCCCTCCCTCTCCCGCACCTTTATCTCTCCCTCTCCATTCCCCAATATTCGTCCATTCTCCCTCCCGTCCACCCTTTCCATCACTGTCCGGTCTCCAAGGGCTCATACACCGCTTCATTGAGCTTGCGTCCGGCCCAGCAGTCACTTGGAGCCTCGATTGTCTTAGGATAGTCCCCCCTCAACACACGGAGGCTGCGGAATGAACAGAAAATGGATGTAAAAAAAAAAAAAAAAAAAAAAAAAAAAAAAAAAAAAAAAAAAAAAAAAAAAGATTCAGGGCGGAAAAATTGGGATAAGATGAAGGAGGGAAAAGGGTTCGCGCAGCAGGTGAAGCAAGAGAAGCGCCGATTTTAAGATGTGAGGCGAGTGTTTGCGGTTACGATCGAGAGCAAGGTAGGGATGGAATTGCCGCGGGAATGGGCGCGTGAGGGAAAGAACGAGAGCGGGGAACGGAGGGTTGACAGGCAGAGCGGGCGGAGGGGGGGGGGAGTGTGATAGGAAGAGAGGAGAAAGGGAGAGAGAGAGATGGACAGACAGAGGCAGAGACAATGACAGACAGACAGAGACAGACAGACACAGAGACAATCAGACAGACAGAGACAGAGACAGAAAGAGACAGAGACAATGGCAGACACAGAGACCAATCAGACAGAGGGACACAAGACAACAACAGATGGCAGACACAGAGCAGATGAGACAGACACAGACAGAACATCATGACAATGACAGACCACAGACACAGAGACAGAAGACAGATTTGAGACAATGACAGACAGAAAGACAGACAGAGACAATGGCAGACAGAGAGACAGACAGACAGACAGAGAGACAATCAGGACAGAGACAGAGACAATGACAGACACAGACAAACAGACAGACAGACAATGAGAGACAACAGACAGAGACAGAGGATGACAATTCATTTTTTTAAAAAAGAGAGAGACGCAACATTATTTTCTTTATTGGATCAAACGCTTAGCATGTGCGCTGCGGTAGCGAAAAAACGCCAGGCGAGCGGGGAACACAATACGTTGTAAAGGGGATGGGAGACAAAGGTAAGTGTAGGTTAGTGTTAAATGTGGTTAGGGATGAATGGAGGGAAAGGATATTTTTTTCTTCTTCAATGATTGATTTATAGAAAAAATATAATAAAATAAATAAATAATAAAAAAAACAGAAAATACTTTCCTCTTTTCCTCACACAGGTAGACATGCAGAGACATAGACTCATATACACCCGTATGTTCACAAGTCGATATACACGCAAGCATCTGCAATCACATACACATTCACGTACAAATACAGACGGATACTTACAAGTCAATAC